ATACTGAAATGTCTCCACAGGAGCTGATAGTCTATCATTAAGTAACTCTTTATTTGTACACGCATAGTACTTGCCACTATTCCGGCTTCCTCAGAGCATGCTCTCAGAGTGAACAGAAACCCTGACACTCCTGTTTATATCTATTAGCCAGGGCTCCCTGATTGGACTCAGTTAACAGTTCCAGCCAGGGAACTCCTATTCTATGAGGTACTGCTGGCTGGCCTTGTTACAATCACAACATTAACAAATCTTCTGTGTGAGGGGATATTCTGTGGTATTGTTCAGAGACAGGAAGGTAATGGAGCACATGACAATTAGTTACAAATCCTTTTAAGACTCTGTTGTTAAAAGCTGTTAATTATAAATGATGGAAACTGCAGGTGCACATTGGGATGTAAATTTCAGACCTCATGCCTGCGCCTGGATTTTTCTTCTCATTTGTTTTGGACAGATGTTGAATGCTTGTGATCCATGCAAAACATTTATATTCTAGCAAATCTTCCTGCTCATAATAAACTGAAGGATGAGTTCTGGCAATTGTGGAATGGTAATGTCACTGAACTGGTCACCCAAAGATCCGGGCTCTGGGTACATAGGTTCGAATCCCACCCCAGTAGCTGCTGGTCTTTTAATTCAATCAATGAATCAAGAATTGAAAGCCAGCCTCAGTGATGGTGCCTTTGCAACTATCATCGATTGTCATAAAATCCCATCTTGTTCACTGATGCCTTTTAGGGAGGGAAACTGCCATCCTTACTCAGTCTGACCTACCTGTGACTCCAGAGCCACCCTCTGAAATGGCCTTAGGAATCTGCTCAGTTCAAGGGCAATTAGGGATGCGCAACAAACACAGACCTTGTAGCAACATTCATATCTCATGAAAAAATAAAGAAATAAAACCTTTGTACCATTGGTGAACTTCGATATTGGGCTCTCTGTTATCAGTCTCTTGGGAATAATCAAGGTTCCAGCTCAGATTTTTGCGGGACATTTCCTTCCAATTCAAAAGTATATCCATTTTCCCAACCATTTCATTTCTCCTAATCCATCCCCTAACCAAACTAATAATTTGCCTTAAATTCCTCAAGTTTTAAAGTTTAATTACTAGCCTCCAATGTGGAATGTTACTAAAATGCCTTCTTGAAATCTAAACAAACTTCATTCCTAGGCATTCTCCAGGCCATTACTTTTGTCACTTCCTCAAAAGACTCAATAAAATTCATCAGCCCCTCATCTGCACTTTACAAGTCAATGTTCGCGGTCGCCTGAAATTTTGTGATGACCGCAGTCCCTTTATCTTCCACGACAGCTCCTGAAAGTGTTGTCACAACATTAGTCTAACTGTATGGGATGCCCTGGGTTCTCTCCTTCTTATCATTTGCCATTTTCCAACTAAAAGAAACTATCTCCAATTCGAGAGGATGTTTGGAAAGTTCAAGCTATGTTTCTGTCTTACTTCCCTTGAAACCCTGAATGAAAATCATCAGGTCCCAAGGAATTTTATCATTATTGGAAGTACCTAGAATCATAGAATTTCAGTGCAGATAGAGGCATCTGGCCCACCAAGTCTGCACCGACCCTCCGAAGAGCATCTCAAACCCCAACCTAGTCTCTGTAACCCTGCATTTATCTAACCTACACATCCCTGGACACTATGGACAATTTAGCATGATGAATCCAACTAACCTTGAACTGTGGATGAAACCAGAGCACCCGGAGGAAATCCACACCGACACAGGGAGAATGTGCTGGTCAGCCAGCAGGACTACACAGGAGTGGGATTGATCTCGAACTCACACCCTGTGAGGACATTGAAGGGAAGCAAATTGAATGACCGCTGAACTGTCGGAAAGTCAGTGCTGAGGGAGTGCTGAGGTAGACTGCAGCGATTCATCACTACCTCCTCAAGGGCAACTAGGGATGAACAATAAATGCTGGCCCAGCCACCGATGCCCATGTCCCACAAATGAATAAAAAAAACTCCACACAAACAGTTGCCCAAGGGTGGAATCAAACCCAGGTCCCTAGCACTGTGACACAGCTGTGCTAACCACTGAGTCACCATTCCACCCCACTTATCTTAAAACCCTCTTTTCTTTCAGTAATTTGGCAAGTTTCAGTCCTTGCTACTCCTTTTCTTGATTGCGAAAATGACAAAGAAAGGAATTATTCAATAAGTCTTCCATTTCCTTATTTTCAATTGCAACTGTTTTTTATTCATTTATAGCCCTCCTAAATTATTTTTGAGAAGTAAATGGTGAGACAACATCATTATAACAACTGAGTGGCTTCTAGGCCATTTCTGTGGGCAGTTAGGAGTCAATGACATTGCTGAGGGTATGGAGTCACATATGGACCAGACTGAGTAAGGACAGCAGTTTTCCTTTCAGAATATCTCTATTAATGGATTTTACAAGAACTATAGGGAACAGAGCTTTTAAGGTACTGGGAAAAAGGTAGTGTGGTTAGGTGAGGAAGAACTTTACTATACAGAAGTGGGAATGATCTGGAACTCACACCCTGCGAGGGTCTTGAAGGTGAGGGATTGAATGATTTCAAAAAGAAACAGGGTCAGTACCGAGGGAGCGCCGCACTGTCGGAGGGTCAGCGCCGCACTGTCGGAGGGTCAGCGCCGAGGGAGCGCCGCACTGTC